GGAGAAGCAGGTTGCCCATCAAGCAAGGAGCCCCATGTGGGGCTTGATCCCAGGACTCTGGGATCATGACCTGAGCCAGAGGCAGCTGTGTAACCAACTGAGCCACCCTGGCACCTCTGTTAGCTTCTTTTGTATCCTTCTGGAGATCTTCTGGATAAACTCAAGCAACTAGGAATATATCGAATTGACCAATTTAAAGCCAGCATTAACTCAGCACTTACAGTGTATTAGGCAGTTCTGAGCACTTCATGAGTGTTAATTCATTTGGTCCTCACAACAGCATAAAGAGGTACGTCTTATGCCCGACAGAAAGAAAAGAAAACTGAGGCAAAAAGAGACTAAAGAGCTTGCTTGAGTGGCTAAACCTGGCAGTTCACAGCACAGGGAAATGCAAATGGCCTTATGAAGAGAGGCTCAGCTGCCTTGGAGGTCAGAGAACTGAAAATGCAAACACCAACAGCATCTTGTGTTTTATCCACCCAGTGGGCAAACTTTGCAAAAGGTGGGTAACTCACCTTGTAGAGGTGAGTTCTGGCACTCACGTGCCCTACTAATGGGAACATGAATTGCTCCAAACTTTTGGGAAAACAATTTGGCAGAATTAATTGGTGTTTAATGTACACACCCTCCAAAATAGAAGGCTAGGTGTCCATAGACATGCACTGCAGCATTGTTTGATAGGCAAAAATATTCTGGATATTCATCAAGGGGGAAATGGGCAAATTACAGTAGATTTATAGTTGGAAATACTATGCAGCAATTACATATAATGAGTTAGATCTGTATGTATTGATCTGTAATGTCCACAAAATATGTTTTTAAAAAGGTTTGAGAGTGAGAGAGCGTGCCAGAGCATGAGCAGGGGGAGGGGCAGAGGGAGAAGCAAGACTCCCTTCTGAGCAGGGAGCCCAATGGATCATGACCTGGGCTGAAAGCAGACCTTTAACTAACTGAGCCATTCATCTGCCCCCACAAAAGATTTTTTAAAGAAGCAATTTACTAGTAATTTTTATAGTAATATATATTTTTGTAATCGATATTCACTTATATATCTGTATATTTTAAGAAACAGCCCTTATATGTGCATTTGTTTGAATATGTCTATATAAGCATGGGGCAGTGATTCTCAGGGTAATTTTGCCCTCCAGGGGACAAATGGCAGTGACTGAGGACATTTTTGATTGTCACCACTGGGGAATGTTAATGGCATAAATGGTAAAAAATCCTATAATGCACACAGGACTGCACCCTCCCCTGCAAAGAATTATCCAATCTAAAATATCAATGGTATTGAAGTTGAGAAATGCTGGTATAAAGGAAAAAATGGAAAAACACGAAACTGTTAATAGTGAACCTTTTCCTTAATTGTCGCATATGTTTGACTTACTACAGTATGTAGTTATTTTAACCACTAAAAATAATCCTATAAAAGCAAAAAAAAATAATACTCTGAAAGTTTCTTGTTTTGGCAAAGACAATGATGGAGCAGGAATAGGGAAAACTGTTTATCAAGAAGACATTAGGAGTCAGGATGTGAGCAAAGGGTGGAAGGAGCTGGAGACAGCAGGGCGTGGGTGGGATACTTAGAGACTGGTCCTGACATCGGAACTCACCTGCAAAGTCTGAAGAATCCCAGGTCTTTTGTGAGCTGAATAAGGACCTGAAAAAATGTCCTATGATTAGGCATCAACCATATTTCTATTTCATAGGCTGGAGTGAACCATCTGTGGTCAGGCAGCAGGGAATCATAACAGCTCACAACTGCATTTCTCACTGGTCTGCTGAGACTTGGGTTAGGTGCTTCTTGGCAAAGAGTGGTCAATGAAGATAGAAAATCTCTGACATAAACCCTGGGTGAATTAAGCAATAACTATGCTTTTAATTTAATTAGGCTTTTGCTGCAGGCCTAATCAGAACCTTAATATGCTAGAATGTGCATCTCCAAGAGGAAGTTCATCAAATGCAGGACTTCCCAAGTCTTTTACCGAAAGCATCTCCTGAGATTAGAATTCTGTGCAATACTTTTTGGGAAATACTAATCGAGTCTAATCAATTTTACTGATGAGAAAAATGGCCAGAAGAAAAAGTGACTGGCTAAGCCAGCTGATTGGGTACCATCCCAAAACACTTGTATTTCAGACCAGTGCTTTTCCCCTAGCATTAAACATCAAACCATAGGTACAAATCAACTGTAGATTCTTGGGGAACATTCCTAAGATTTATGGAAATTAAAAAAAAATTTTTTTTTATTCATTTATGATAGTCACACACACACACAGAGAGAGGCAGAGACATAGGCAGAGGGAGAAGCAGGCTCCATGCACCGGGAGCCCGACGTGGGACTCGATCCCAGGTCCCCAGGATCGCGCTTGGGCCAAAGGCAGGCGCCAAACCGCTGCACCACCCAGGGATCCCCTGGAATTTTTTTTTTCCAATTTAATTTGGAGCGGTTGCACTGGAGGTAAGAGAAGGGAGTCACATTGGAAGCCATTCAAAGAAAATCCACTTTTAAAGAGGATTAAGAAATTCTTTGCCTCAGAAGAGACTCTATATTTTTCTTGGTGGAGGGAGTGAAGTCCAGTGAAGACCAAATGTGCTTCTGTGAAGGAATGCTCCACCAGGTCCTTTTGAAAATGTAGCCTGCATGGGACAGATGGAAACACCTGGGACTTCAGCCCTCCCCAGTTTATCTCAAATTGACCTCACTGGGCCAGTAGCAGCCCTAGAAAACTTATTCTGTAGACTCTCTCCAAGAAGTAAATTGACTAAAATTTACTTGATTCAATTACATGCTGGCCTTCTAGAAGCCACTGAGGATTCAAAGATGAATAGGGCATAATCATTGCTCTGAAGGGATTTTCCATCTGGTATGGAAACATACTGCACGGAATCAGATTAAGATAGGGCTGTGCTGACAATGTGAACCGAATCCCAGCAACCATGGGGGGGGGCAGTGTTTACACTTTTATTATTTTTTAAAGAGTTTATTTCTTTATTCATGAGAGACAGAGAGAGAGGCAGAGACACAGGCAGAGGGGGAAGCAGGCTCCATGCAGGGAGCCTGACCTGGGACTCGATCCCGGGACTCCAGGATCAGGCCCTGGGCTGAAGGCAGGGGCTAAACCGCTGAGCCACCCAGGGATTCTCCAGTGTTTACACTTTTAAACGCCCACCCTTCTAAGAACTTTGCACACCTTGGCTTGTGGGCAACAGGAGCTATGGAAGATGTTTTCAGTATTAAACAGAAACCTCTGGCCCAGGCACCTTTGGTGACTTCATTTCCCATTCTCAGCTTCTCTTCTTGCTCCTTTTGTTTGTGGCAAACTATGCTCAGAGACTGATATTGTATTTACCAATAATTTATTTAACACATGTTCACTCAGGGAATTAAAATTTATATTTCACAAGCCAATAGCATACAGGACCTCTTTATAAGGCAATTAGGAAATAACATACCTCAAACCAGTGATAGGTTAATTATGCTATTGTTCTAGGCAAAGGGGAGATGAAAGAAAGTCCAAATTTAGTTGAGGTGTACCTTTCCACGCTGGGTAGAGTCAGCCCTTTCAACTAAAAGCTGGATATCAGAGCACCGGCACTGCAGGGCACCAGTGTTGGCAGGAATGTGGGCTGCTTCGAAGGGATCATTAAACCAATCATGCACTGCCTCGAGTGCCAAGGCCCGCACAGATGCCCCTTCTCCAAGACTGCTGCATGGTCACCACTGCTGACCAAAAGTAGCATCACTAGGGCGGGAGGAAGGGTGTCAAGGTCTTCAGGAACTATATTTAGATCAAGAAAGAGTGGCTTTGCCCAGACTGAACACTCTCGAGTTGTTGACCAAACCTCTTAGAAGTCCGTCACATGGACGCACTGCTGTTACTCCGGTGTCAGTGACATAATAGTCCTCTCCACTCCAGGTGCGACAGTTGATTAAGAAAGTCCTAATACCAGCAATGTCCGCAATAGCCAAACTGTGGAAGGAGCCTCGGTGTCCATCGAAAGATGAATGGATAAAGAAGATGTGGTTTATGTATACAATGGAATATTACTCAGCCATTAGAAACGACAAATACCCACCATTTGCTTCGACGTGGATGGACCTGGAGGGTATTATGCTGAGTGAAGTAAGTCAATTGGAGAAGGACAAACATTATATGGTCTCATTCATTTGGGGAATATAAAAAATAGTGAAAGGGAATAAAGGGGAAAGGAGAAAAAATGAGTGGGAAATATCAGAAAGGGAGACAGAACATGAGAGACTCCTAACTCTGGGAAACGAACAAGGGGTGGTGGAAAGGGAGGTGGGTGGGGGGTGGGGGTGACTGGGTGATGGGCACTGAGGGGGGGCACTTGATGGGATGAGCACTGGGTGTTATGCTGTATGTTGGCAAATTGAACACCAATAAAAATTAAAAAAAAAAAAGTCCTAATACCCAACTTCAAAACAAAGTTCAAAGCACACAGAACCTGCCCCCAACCTCCTTCCCCTTCGGGTCCCACCTCAGGCCTGGACCTCACCTCCACTCTAACAGTGCCCGTGGGTCCTGCCCAAGTGCTCACGGACGGGCCAATTCAGCAAGTCCCCGATGCTTCACACTGCCCGGGGGCCCGCCTAACAGTTAACACTGTGGCCTTTACGAGCCCGCCCTCAAATTTGGGTCCAGCAGGTCTGACAGACTCGGGCTTAGGGACTTCTATCGAGCAGCCGCCTCATTTACAGAGCACAACTAGCAGCAAAGCTGCACAGGAAGTCCACTGTGGTCGCCTAATTCTATGGACGAGGCCACGGAGTCCAGCCGGCGCAAAACGAGCTGCCCCGGCGTTCGTAAAGGGCACAGCCCGAGGAGCCCCCGTACAATCCACAGCCAGACCGCGCCCACGCCTCCCGCGCTGCGCAGCCTAGGACGCGAGCGGGAACCAGGCATGCGCGGACTCGTCCGTCCCCTGCCAGAGTCACGTGAGTGGGGCGGGCTCGAGGCCTGAGAGGAAGCGGAAGTCGCGCTTCTCTCCGGAGCTTGCTCCCGGAAGTGCCGCTGTTTGTAGCGGGCGTGATGGCTTCAAGGTTACTTCGCGGAGTTGGAGCGCTGGCCGCGCAGGCCCTCAGGGCTCGCGGCCCCAATGGAGTCGCCGCGGTGCGCTCAATGGCGTCTGGAGGTACTTGGCCTGTCCGGCGCGTCAAGGAACGGTGCCGTTGCCTTCCCGGGGTGGTGCCTGGGCAGCGAAGCGGGGCGGGCCGTTCAGCTTCTCGGGGCCCCAGTGACCGCTCGGGGGCCCCGGGTGACTCCGCCTCCGTGGGGGTCTCCCTGTTATCCTGGTCCCCTGTGCTGCCCCTCACCGAACTGCCCCCGGTTGCGATAAATCTTAAACCGAGGTGCCAGGTGACCTTGGGGGACAGGGGTTGCAACCGGGATGTGGAGAGGCCAAGCTGTCCTTCAGACCCGCGCTCACCTCAAGTGCGATGAACCCTACTAGGACCCTGACTTGCTTTTAGGGAAAATGTGCAGAAATACTGGCCTCCGTGATTGAAGGAAGAAAAGATTACCCGGTGCTGCCGCTTTGGGGTATCAGGACCGTGGTCCTTAGGAGACAATGTGTATGAGTAGCCTTTAGGAGTTTGTAAACTATATGTAAACATTTATGTATATGCATTTCTCGTCCTGATAATTCAGACAATATCAAAATTCACGTATTTTCCTTTAGGTGGTGTTCCTACTGATGACGAGCAGGCGACAGGGCTGGAGAGGGAGGTCATGATGGCTGCACGGAAGGGACTGGTGAGAAACTCCTTTTTGTGTCTTCTCTGGGGTTCATGATCTTGGATGGGATCAGAGCAGGTTCCTCTCTGGGAGCATCTGAGATAGGAAACCTGACTTGCGGGAACAGTACCACTAGCCTTTGGAGGCTACGGGTCATTTGGCATAATGGCTTAATTCTTTTTCAGGACCCATACAATATTCTGGCCCCAAAGGCAGCTGCAGGCACCAAAGAAGACCCTAATTTAGTCCCATCTATCACCAACAAGCGAATAGTGGGCTGCATCTGTAAGTACCTCACCACTCTTGTCCATTTGTTTAATATATACAGGACTTCAGTAAGAGGTTTCAAATCTTTTGAGTGCATGGTGTATGCGTGTAAAGGGGATGTGTGTGTAAATGAGTTATTGTAAGGGTTCCCTGGCCCTTTCAAGCTTCATTAACCCTTCATTAGTATCAGCTCATTGGAGATGCAGCATGAGAGAGTATTGATCCAGAAAATATTTGTTGTACTTCCTTCCTCTTTGCCAGACACTGTTTTAGGCACTAGGGCTACATACCAGAAAGGACTGTGCTTTGGGATTCCACATAGGCAGAGGAACTGTTAGAACTTAATGGTGACTCTGATGTAAGGTCAGTTTACTCATAGATAACTCGGGGCCTCATTTCATCTGAAAAGTGGGGAAGGAGAGAGCTTGAATTGATCACTTCAGGTGTCAACCATAACTGTGTCTTAGAGGTGTCTGAGGATGAGGTTAATATTGAAAGTCTCCACTTCAGGTTGGATGGCCTTCAACCACCTTTTCCCTTTCAGGTGAAGAGGACAATAGTACCGTCATCTGGTTTTGGCTGCACAAAGGCGAGGCCCAGAGATGCCCTAGCTGTGGAACCCATTACAAGCTGGTGCCCCACCAGTTGGCCCACTGAGCCTTTGCACTAATTTACTCAAAATGTGCTGTGAAGTTTCTTCTTTCCAATAAAGACTAGCCATTGCATTGGCTCCTTCTCCCATAGTTGGCTGGTCTTATTTCTATCCTGTGTCTTTTGTGAGGCCTGGATTTTTACATTGGGAATAGCTATCTGTTAATATTAGCTTGCTATCCATGTGTTTGTGTACGCCGAGATTGACAATCCCATAGTATAGTGATTGAGACCATCTGCTATGGAGAAAGCATGGGCTATGGCATCAGACTGACTCGACTTTTAATAATGGCTCCGTCATTTAGTTTTGTCACTGGAACATGCACTCTGAGGATAGGTTATATCTTTTAAAAAAAAGATAAATATTTTGTGAGGCATTAGAAGTAATATATAAAGAGCCTGGCAGTTGGTTGGTTCGCAGTAATGTTATAAAATAGGGTGACCTTGTGACCAGAGTTTCGGGGGTTTTGAAGTTTTGGGGTTCAAAGCATAGTTCATGGAGATACCATTATCAAAATCCAGAATATGAGGCAATTCCAGAAATCAATGACCAGTTTCTTCAAATAAATTGCAATGAGGAGGGACACCTTGCTGGCTCAGACAGTAGAGCATGCCACTCTTGAACTGAGGGTCATGAGTTCAAGCTCCACATTGAGTATGGAGCCTACTTTTTATTAAAAAAAAAAAAGTTAAAAATTAAAAAATTGCAATGAGGAAAAAAAGTAGGGAGAACCTATCAAGTGAAATGGATGGGAGGAAGATAACAAGAGCAAAGCATGGACCTTGTGTGGATTTTTTAAGAAATTTTTTAGATTTTATTTGAGAGAGCACAAGCAGGGGGAGTGGCAGAGGGAGAAGCAGGCTCCCCACTGAGCAGGGAGTCTCAATGTGGGACTCTATCCCCTTGGGATCATGACCTGAGAAGGTAGACGCTTAACCCACTGAGCCACCCAGGAGCCCCTCTCATTATTTGGATCTTTATTTGAAGAAATGAAACTGTAAGGAAAACAAATACTTTCAACTTTGGATATTTGACATTTAGGGATTTTTTATTTATTTATTTATTTATATTTTGTTTTAGATAGGTTAACGGAATTAGCTTTATTTGTTAGAGATTCTTGGTGAGGTGCTTAGGAGGAAAATTTGTCTGGGATTATCTTTACAACAGTGGGAAAAAGAGGAAGGGGAATTTGGGCTAAGATTGATCCATTGTAGGTAGGTCATTGTTCTAGTCTTGTGGATGTTTGAACTTTATCATAATAATACAAAATAGAGTTGAAAGAAATTTTTAAAAGTCCATTTCAGCTACTTTATATTTGTGACATCTTGGACGACTAAGTTCTTAAGAGCTGTTTGTAAAATGGAACCAGTACCTTTCCATTTTTGTGGGATTAGCCACAGAGGTGGCTTTACTTTCTCCTCAAAATCGGTTCAGACGAGGTCTTTGAACTGATGATGATGGGGAGCCTCAGGGAGAAAAATCTTTTCCCCCCAGTCTTGCCTTACTTCCTCTTAAAGGTAGAGTCAAACAAAGTTGCTGCTTCCATTCTTTGTTGTCATCATCTTTTGTTTTCAAGAAATGCTGAAGCATTTGTCTGCCATTCAAGGTCCTTCCCTTTGAGAAGGGAAATACCCACGTTGGGTATAGAGATTCTTTTTTATTTTTAAAGATTTTATTTATTCATTCATGAGAGACACAGAGAGAGAGAGATGCAGAGACACAGGCAGAGGGAGAAGCAGGCTCCATGCAGGGAGCCTGATGTGGCACTCGATCCGGGGTCTCCAGGATCACGCCCTGGGCAGAAGGCAGGCACCAAACTGCTGAGCCACCCAGGGATTCCCTAGAGATTCTTTAAAAAACAAAATCTTAAAAAATCATAACCGATTCTCCCTTAAAGAAAGAAAAATCCAAAAAAAGAGAAAGAAAAATCCCAGTACATGTCCAGACTGGTAGGCAGGATAATGCCTCCCTACCCCACAACCACCCCACAAATGTCCATATCCTTTAGGGTCCTGGAACCTGTGAATAGGATGTTAGGTCATGTAGTAAAAAATTACTTAAGATTGCAAATTGACTGACCTTAAAATAGGGAGATTATCTTGAATTATCCAGGTGAGCTCAATAACAAGGGCAGAAGAAGAGTCTGAGGGAGATGTGGCTGTGGGAGAATGGTCAAAGATGCAGTGTTGTTTTGAAGCTGGAAGAAGGGGGCTACAAGCCAGGGAACGCAGGGCAAGGGATGCAGCCTATAGAAGCAAATAAATGATTCTCCCTCGTCTCCAGAAAGAAATGCAGCCCTGTTCATATCATTTCAGCCCAGCAAGACCCATGTCAGACTTCTATAGATAGAAATATGTGTTGGTTTAAGCCACAAAATATGTGATAATTTTATTATGGAAGCAATAGATCAGAAAGTTTAACTTCTGCCTCCTGAGCTAGTGGGCCTTAAATTTAGCTGCACATTAGAATCACCTGGGGAAATTTTATAACTCGATGCCCAGGTCCTACTCACACTGTTAAAGCAGAGTGTCTGGGGGTGGGACACAGGCTTCAGAACCTGTTCCCCCATGTAATTCTAGTGTAGCCCCAGCTGAGAACCTCTGCCTTGGGCTAACCACGTAACTGAGCAGCTCTTTTCCTTGCCTCTTGGTAACTGGAAGCCTAGTGGCAGACAGGAAATGTAACATTCCCCTATGAGGAGTATCAAACCTTTCCTTTGGGTGGAAGTGAGCTCCCTTCTAAACCTCTGGCTACTCGGTGGCTTAGAAATTGGATCCCATCTCCCCATCTCTAGAGTCTAGAGAAGACTATAAACCTCATTGTGATGGTATTAAACAATCTGCAAGTACAGAATAAACTTGTTTCTTGGAACGATTTGATTGTAAGTTGCTGATCTGATGCCCCATCACACTTCAGTGTGTATTTTTTATAAAGACATTGATATACCATCTATAACCATCAAAATTAGGAAATTACAATTTATACATTTCTGCCATTTAATCCTCAGACCCTATTCAGGGCTAGCTAAATGGGCCTATAATATCCTTTATAGATACAGTTCAGAATCATGTGTTCCCATTAGTTGTCCTGTCCTTTTAGTCTCCTCCACTCTGGAACAGTTCTTCAGTCTTTCCCTGACTCCTATGACCTTGACACTTCAAAAATTGCACCAACAACTCAGATTGGTTTGATGTTTCCCCAGGATTGGATTCGGGATTATGTGTCTTGGGCCCAAGCACTGCAGAGGTGATGCTGCGCTCTTCTTGCTAGGCATACGGATGTCACCTCGTCCCAGTGCTGATAGGGTCTACTTGATCAAACTAATGTCTGCCAGACTTCTCCACTGTGCAGTTGTTCTTCAATTATTAATAAGTATCTTATGGGGGCCACACTTTTGAGATGTCACTAACTTGCTCCTCATGAAAACTTTTTTTAAAAAAAGATTTATTTATTTATTTATGAGAGAGAGAGAGAGAGAGAGAGAGAGAGAGAGAGAGGCAGAGAACAGGCAGAGGGAGAAGCAGGCTCCATGCGGGGAGCCCAATGTGGGACTCGATCCCGGGACTCCAGGATGGCACCCTGGGCCAAGGCAGGCACCAAACCGCTGAGCCACCCAGGGATCCCCCTCATGAAAACTTTTATTAATTTGTAGGAGTATGAACTTATGCTTTGATATTCAATGATTATAATTCTTAATTATTTAGCTTTTGATGTTTAATTTGTTCCAAATTTGGCTGGTAGGAGCTTCTTCAGGTTGATGCCTGTGGCATCTTGACATGTTCCTATCATTCTTTGAGCACTTATTTTCTGGCACTAGATATTCCAGGCTGTTTATAAACTCATAAGGTAGGTACTATTATTGCCACTCCCATATTAGAGATGGGGAGCCCTAAAAACAGCTGAGGATTATGCAGCTAGCTAGTTGTGGTGGCAGGATTGTGAATCCAGAACACTTAGCTTGAGCCTGAACCTTTTTCCACCCCTTTGAGGTAATTTTAGATTTGCAGAGAGACTGCACAGAGTTCCTGTATACCCTTCACCCAGTTTCCCCTACGTTAACCTAGCACAAAGATTGAAACCAGGAAATTCACACTCATATGGTGCTATTCACTAATTTTGCTGGCTTTCCCAGTAAGGTCCTTGTCCTGTCCAGGACCTCACATTGCATTTCACTGTCAAACCTCAGTCTTCTTTAATCTGTGACAGTTGCTGTCTTTACTTTCATATAACTTGCCACTTTAGAATAAGAGAACTGGTCCATAATTTGTAGAATGCCCTCAGTTTGTTCTGTTTGTCATCCCTGGCTAGATTGAGGTTATGGGGGAATACCACAGGTGACATTGCACCCTTTAGTGCATCAGAAGGAGAGACGGTGACTGATTACTGGGGATGCAAACTCTGATCACTTTTTTAAGGTGGTATCCACTAGGTTCCTCCACCATACAGTTATTATTCTTCCTTTTGTAATTACTAGTTATTTTCTGGGGAGATACTCTGAAGCAATACAAATGTTCTTACTTTTGCTTAACTAGTGTTTGCATCCATTTTTGTCTACAGTTAGTACTGTGGTGTTTGTCTATGGTGATTTCCATTCTCCATTATTCCTTCCAGAATTGAACTACTCTAAGGAAGAACTGTCCTTGTCCTCCATGTATAATCTATTCAATTTATTTATATTAGAGTGGATTCACAAATATTTTTTTCTGTGGCTTATAATCCACCACAGATTTGCTCACTGGGTTTATTTGTCCTTAAGACAACAAGCTCCCTCCTTTTGGGGGCACTTCCTTCTTTATGGTACCACAAGATATTCCAGGCTCATTTTATACTTTATCTGCCTTAGATCTAGAATTCCTCCAGGGAGCTCTGATTCCTTTAATTGAAGAGTAGTATTCAGAAGCCCTGATCTAGACACTATATGTGCTTGTTGCTGTTGGGGTGTGTGTCTAGGCCTTCCCAGCAGACAGGGCTGGGAAATACATATAGTCTAACCCTAGCATTCACAGAGGAAGGCCTAATTATTTCAGCATCTATTTTTATATATTTTAAAAACCATGAGTCCATACCTCCAAACCCAATCTAACACCACAA